TTGTTTTAACACATTTTTTTTGTGGGAACAATTTCAACAGGATTCTATGTCACTGACCTACCATAGATTATTTCACATCATTGAAATATCCTTTTTCTTAGCAAGGTGCAGTCTCCCCTGTTCAGTTTTGCAGTCTTCCAGAATTATATTGACAGATTTGTCAACCTGTGAAAATTAGCACACTAGTCTAATATGATTACCAAAGGGCAGTAACTCTGCAGTTTATCACAGGAACCCTATGCTGAGTGATACTGCCATGTATAATTTAGAAATGGCACCAGCAGTAATGCAGAAATGCTGATAACATGATTGTAAATCAATAGCATGCGATACTTATGCTATATACAGACACATTGAATATATTTGGTACAAAAAGTCAAGGGTAAATGCCCTCATATTTAATGTAAATCTCGAAGTCGTTTTTCTCTAGGGCTGGAGGTTGTTGATTTAAATTACACACTGTTAATTATTACTTCCATGCCAGCAGTGCACTTAGCATAAAGTGCTAGACTGATATTTGTAAATTCATCTTTCCTTACTCCACGGTTGATGTGGTCAATGTCCTGCTGCAACCCCGGCGATTACCTGATTCTTATTCAGGATGTGTCGACCTGGGAGGCAATGTTTATTTTTAAACGTCCATCCAGTACACATTCAAACCCAAGAGCTTTAGGCTGACAAGCGAGCTTCAGGCCACTACACCACCAGAGTTACCATCCAGTCCGCATGAAGATGAATATTTATAAACATTAAAGTCAAATGTCGACTAAGTCCAAATGAACTCTAGCACAAAGCCTGGGCAGTATTGCAGAGACCATGTGTTGAATATGTAACATGGTCCCTCCCTAAATCTGCCTTGTTTACTTCGAAGAAAAGCTAACACCTGTACGTTTGGGAAAAGCAGGTTGCAGAAGCGGTCGATCAGAAGAACAGTGCTCTATTTGTCCACCTGTAGGAGCTTCCCTCCTTGACCATATGCCAGCCATAGCTAAGGTTTCCTCTAGGGCCGGAGGTTGTTGATTTAATTCAATTTTTAATAAACTCAGACTTGAGTAAGAAGCAAATAGGTGCACTTGTGGAGTACAACCCTTTTGCCATGATGTTTATCTGGATTTTAAACCCTCACCTAATAGGGCGGAAATTTAAACTCCACATCGGCATCATTACCAGTATTAGAACAAAGATGCGTTTCTGTCTGTTACCAGTTAGTCTCTACAAAACACATCATACTTAAGATTGGTTTCGTCATTGGTTCATTATATCTGATAGCTGTTCGTAGGGTTAACATTTCACGGCTGAGAATCAAACCACTATCAGAAATCACCTTTGACCATACAGCACAAGTACCTCTTGGGTTATGAAGAAACCTGCAGTCAAGTGAGGGGTAGGGTCAGTCTTTTACATACACAGTTTTTCAGCACAACACAAATCTTCCTCTAAAAAGCTCTACAGTGCTCAGGATAAATCTTTAGTACACACATTTTCATACATTAGTTTGTACAATGCTCTGCATTTACTGTTAGTGTGTCTACTATTAAGTGTCCACAGACTCAACCAATTAAAGTCACTTGTGACCTAATGGTATTTACAGGGGCCAACACAAAGAAAACAATAAAGGTGGGGTTGCTCAACCACATAGTAACTTACCTGAGGCTTGGATCACAAAACTTTTACCATGTTGCACAATAATAGTTATCATTAGTATTTGCTGACTGGCACATCAATGTAACAAAAATATTGGAAAAGAAATATCAAATGTATACTACATATTTGATCAGAGAAAGTCAAAACATGGTTAGGGGTTGATGGCCAATACAGCCTGCTGTGGCAATCTCTATAACATCCGCCCTGTCTACAGTTCTGAAATACTTTGACAAAATGTTGCGCCGTCTTCACAACGAAGGCTAGACATAAGACACCCACTGCTGTTTTAGGTAAAATTGCACTTTGAGGCTCTAATCTCTTCCACAGTGCCACTCTTGTACAGTTATCCAATAACAACAAGATTTCTTGTTTAATGACATCTCAGTTCTTCCTCTTCTTCTTCGCTTTGACCAGCTGTACACTCTGGCGAACAGTTCTGGTTGCTCGTCCACTACTGAACTGCAGTCCTGCTCCAGAACCTGAGTGTTGCGTGTGCATCAGTTTTACAGATCTCATTCTCTTGATTACAGACTGTTGGCTCCTTGCCTCTCTGGCAGATGCACTCCGACTTCAAAGAAAGCTCCCCAGTTAGTCGACTCTTACGACATGCTTTTGGGGAGGCAGTGGGTCTATTCTTGTTTCCCCTTACAATGGGGCCCCAGAACCCACACGGGGAACATCTCAATTAATCGATATCTTCCACTTTTCGCTTTAATTCCCTGTCAACTATTATTCACCACATCACACATGTACTTGTATTAGTTAAGAAGTAAATTCACCCTTGTAAGTTAGTTTCTAGAAAGCTCCACCTCCGGTATCTCTATAACACTCACCTCAGATATCTCTATAACACCCAGCATTCTTTTATTCTGGCTTAAAATTAGTGATTTTGTTTCACAATGCAATCCTCGATGATTACCAAGGTCTGATTCCTGCGGTGGGGGGAATTCAAAGAAAATAAAAAAACTGAACTTTCTGTGTCTTTAAAAACAGAGGTAAGAGAGTCACATCATGGAAGAGATGATTGCCTCACACTATGTGATATTCGCAGTTAGTATTATACACACTTCAGCCAAAGTCCATCAACACTAGACTGCAGGTTACTCTGTAACCGTTTCGTGGATTTCCAGTATAATTGTGCTATATGGCTTTGTAGTGTAATGAAGTTTCCTGGATTACAGAGATTACAAGAACCTTCCTGCCTCTTTCAAAACCTCTTGTTTGCTCTTTTTTTGATGTCTAAGGTATTTTCAGCATTCTACCCTAAAATCACATTCCTAAGGCCTAAGTAAATTGTTTGGTTTGCCTACCGATTGTCCAGGACTCATAGCCATATGTTAAAACTGGATGTATATAGCAAGCAAGAATTCTTTTTCTATCCTTAAATGACAGAGATACATAAGATGTTCTTTATTTTACAAAATGTGGTTTGTGCCTGTCCTATTCTGTTTCTTAACTGGGGGATGTTCATCCTGATGTTATCCATGTCATCAGATACTTACATTTATGTACTTGTCTCAAAATAACACCACTGTCTTTTATTACACATTTAGTAATAAATCTTTTCTTTGATACCATCATTACATCTGTCTTTCTATTTTTCAAACAGAGGCCCATTCTTCCACTTTCTACCACCACAATACAATGGCTATCGTTTCCTGTAGTTCTTTCTGACTTGTTGCTATTAAGACTGTATCATCAGCATAATGTAAATTATATATATTATGCCCACCAACCACAATTCTGAGCATTTCAAGTAAAATCTCATTAACCTATGAATTTGTGAAGTAAATAAGTGCAATGATCAAATGAGAATTGAGAATGATAATACACCAATAATGCTGGTAATTTGAACGCGTACTGACAAAGAAGGATGTTATTGAAGGAAAGAGTAGTCGGAGCGCAGGCGAGATTCACCAGCAAAGAAAATAAAAAGCAGCTAGACATACTGCTTGTCCAACAGTGACACCTACCCATCAAGCCCTAAAAGAATTAATACAAACACAGACACACAAGACGAACAATATTTATATTACAATTTTTCTCAACACCATACCCAAATCCAGCAAAGAAATACATAACAAATTACTAATAGCAGTAGCCTATTACAGACAACGGGTTTGGACATCCATAAATTGTGCATCCTTTAGGTGTAGAACTTACATCGGTGAATTGTTTTTGCATATGTTCAAAGAAAAAAATTCATAATCTCTTTCCTGTTAACTATCTTCACCATTATTATTATTATTATTATTTTATTCGCAGTAGAAGAAATTGTTAGGTTATAATTCAGGAAAACTCAACAAATATTGTTTTTCCTCCCTAAATAGTATCGGTGTAAATAACCCGTTCAAGTATAAGAGTATGGAAAGAATGGGTGATTGTGAATAGATGTAAGAGTGGAAAAAGAATAGAAGCAGACAGTAAAAAAGAGATGGGCGAAAGAAAAGAGGAAGCATTGAATATGGAATGCTTATGTATGTGTATGTATGTATATATGCATATGTACAGTGTACAAACATGTAAAATATTCCCCATCGTTGTCATATGCATGCAAACTTTTTGCAAGAAATTTAATCAAAATCAAACCAGTCCTTATGTTTTTTATTTAAATATCCTTTGTTGTATACTCTGAACATAATAGCAGTTATAAAATACTCAAGTTAAAAAAAAAATTCATAATCTTTACAAAACAAAATTTTTTTTGACAGTTAAAAAATATAGCCACACAATCAGAAATGCTATATCTTTAAAAGTATAGAAATTAATAAAACTAATTTCCATGATCAAAATTTATTTCTGTTATAATCCTGTGCACAAGTTTAAAGTATTTGATAGGTTTTGATTTTAAAAATATCCTCATCAACATTCAAAATGTAGGGTACTTTTTAAAAAAGGACCACAATTTTCAAAGTCACGAACTGAAAAGGTTATGTTCATGAGACATCATGTGTTGTGAATCTTCAGCTTTTGCTTGTCCTCTAGCTCAATCATTTTTTGAAGCTCTATGGATCTCTTTTTATCGATGACTTCCATCTCTCGAATTTTCTGAAAGCAGTAAAATGTGACAGAATCTGAATAGGCGAGTTAATATTACATAAACTCTTTCAGTACCTGCCAGTAGTTACTTTAACTCATTATATCCTGAAAAGTTCTAGTAAGCAGAAGACAGTGTTTGAGTTCAAATAAGTTGAAGCAACAACACTTCTGGATTTTCTTGATGTACTATGAAAAGTGGAAGCCGCTGTGGTGTAGCCGCTAGATGCTTGCCTGTGGATCTGAAGGTTGTGGGTTCAGGTCCTGACAGAGCTGGACTTTTTTAAAAAATGACCTTGGCTCCCAGGTCGATCCAGCCTTGAGTTTTACCAGGTACAGACCTGGGAAGTAAAGATGGCTGAAGTGATGCTGATGACACCACCTACCAAGTGCCAATTGGTCTATAAAATATAGGTCTAACCCTATATGCCCAAAAAGGCATGAAAAAGGGTCCTTTACTTACTATGTTAAACATCTTAACTTCATCAGCATACTATTGTGTCATTATATGTTTCACAGGGCTAACAGAACTTCCCTTCATTCGGTTCTACCCTGTTCAATCTCTTCAATATTATGGACAGAATCCAGTCCAGCATCTTTGGCCTCCCTCATCAGTATTCCTTTTAGGGTTATCTTGGACAACCTCGTTTTCTAATTCATTTATATCCCTTTTTGGTGCCTGTTTGGTGGTTTTCTGTTTGCTTCTCCTCAGGATGTGCTAAACACATAATTTTCTTATAACTTTTAATACCAGCAGTTATCTGGACATTTCTCTGTCCTACTGTTAATGTAGCTGAACACAAAACATCAGGTGTTTTAATTGACAGCCATTTAATTTGGAGTTCCCATGTTCTTGCCATGACCAAAAGTATAGCACAAAAAGTTTATCAACTTGGCAAAATTCAGCACTTTTTGGACGAAAATACACGTAAAATATTTTACGTATCCTACATCCAAACGCAGATTGACTACTGTTCCACAATTTGGGATGGTTGCTCCAAATCTAATGTCGAACGACAGAGTTCTCTACAAAATTAGGTCTTAAGCCTAATCTCCAATAGAAATTCTGTCCAAAAAATCTCTTATACAGACATCTAAGACTTTTGCCAATTAGGAAACGTTTAATTTTCAGCAAGACTAAATTCATTCACAAAATTATATCTCGAAATACTGTAAATTACACCTTCCGATTGATTCAATCCAATCCTACGAATAGTAAGCAACTAAGTTTATTAAATTTTCCTAAACCTAAAACTGATTTATTTAAAAGAAGTTCAGCCTATTCTGCTGCTCATTTATGGAACCATCTTCCACTCGATCTGAAAACTACAAAGAGCCCCTACTCATTTAACCGAAAACTTGTTCAATTCACGATCACCAGTGATCATAGGCCACCTTAAGTGTATTTAATAATCCATATTGCATTATCAATTTAAAATTAAATAAAGTGTGTATGATGTGTATGTATGCCTATATGTGTGGCATGTGTAGGCGTGTTTGTGTATGTATGAGTGTATGTATAAGTAATTGCATAAGTTTGCGTGTGCCTGTGTGTGTGTCTGTGTGTATCTGTGCTTGTGTGTCTGTGGGTGTGTGTCTATATTTGTGTTTGTATGTGTATCTGTGTGTGTGTGTGTCAGTGTGTGTGTCCGGGCATGTGTCTGTCTCCATGTATGTAGCTTCATGTGTATATATGTGTGTGTGGCTTCATGTGTATCTGTGTGTGTCTATGCGTGTGTCTATTTGATAATGTCTGCCTGTGCATGTATCTCTGCGTGTGTTTGTCTGTGTCTGTGTGTTTTTCTGTGCAAGTATGTCTGCGTGTGACTGTGTGTGTGTGAGTGTTGTGTATGTCACTGTGTGAGTGTGTTGATATGTGTGTGTCTGTGCATGTGTCTGTGTGTATATCACTGTGTGTCTGTGGGTGTGTTTGTGTGTGTGTGTTTATATGTGTCTGTTGTGTGTCTATGTATATGTTTGTCTGCATGTGTGACTGTGCATGTCTGTATGTGGTGTGTATGTCTCTGTGTGTGTCTATATGTGTGTGTGTGTGTCTCTGCCTGTGTGTGTAGTAAAGGACCCATTTTACACCAGTGCCCCACTGGACATATGATGCTAGATTCAGACTGTTATATACCAACTGGCACGAGGCAGGTGATGTGGCCAACACTATCGATGGCCGCCTTTACTTTCAACGGCATTAACTGGTTCCTATTTTAGGCTACATCCATATGTGTATAAGTATCTGTGTCTCTGTGTGTGTCTGCCTGTTGCTGCATGTTTATGTGTGTATGTTTGTAGGAGTCTGTGCAGCTGTGTGTATATGTGTGCGTTTGTGTGTGCATCTGTGTGTGTGTGTGTGTCTGTGTATCTGTCTGTGTCTGGGTGTGTGACTGTGTGTGTCTTTGAGTGTGTATGTTTGTGAGAGTGTGTCTGTGTCTCTGTGTATGACTGTATGAGTGTGCGAATGTGTGTGTATTATGTATGTGCCCAATCTGTGACCCTTTAACTTTTTGAGTCCCAGGGGGTTTAGCATCAGGGGCGCCAAGGGGTGGTAATGCAATTTTTTAATTTTACAAGTGTAACACATTAAAACAGACCACATTTATTCAACTGCTGCGCAACATACACATATATCACATTAAAGTGACCAAGGATTGTTGAGGAATAATTTTAGAATACAGCTACAACACATAATTGTGTTAGTAATAAAATATTAGTAAATAAACAGATGGTATGTTTACAAAAATTAGTTTAAAAAAAAAAAAAAAAATTCCACTTACCACCATGGCACTCAAGAAAAACTGGTTAAAATGTATCCAAACTAAATCATAAATGACTATGAACCACTTAGTAATGTATAAGTAAAATATAAACTAAATCTATACATTAGATTTTGTTCCAGATAATCTTTTGAAGCATCATAACAGAGCACCATTATTGAATAATGAATAAAACGACAAAACAGCTTTACAACTACATATTGTTCACTGTTCATTTAAATATCTTCATCGCAATCGGACATAACCACTTAACAATGATGAGTGATTCAATTCAAACTGTAATTAAAAAGCCTTTCATCAGCATAAAAAATGTGCACTGTATTTTTATTCTATATGTCTCTTTCTACAGAACAGCTAACTGTTTGCTGGGAGCGTCACACAAAGCATGAACTCTAGCTGTGGGAATAGTCACTAGGGTCTCTGTGAAAATTCCACCCGTAAATCAAATGATGCAGCCATAAAATAAGCTTTTGACCTTCAGAGCACAAGGCGAATGGCGTTACCACTTCACAATGGAGACCTCAAAATGTTTCAGTTGCGGCTTGAACCCAGGAACCTTCTTCATGTCAGATAGATGTGACAACCACTACACAATGGAACAAGAATGCTCTGTAGTGATGAAGGCTTTCTAGCTGCAATGTTATTTTGTTATTTATGTTTAGGTGTTTGGTCAGCTGATCAGTTATACTTTTTGTTTTTGTTGACTTACTGTATTTTTCACAGTAGTTTTACCTAATTCAGGAGCTGCCATGGTGTAGCAGCTAGACGCTAACATGCAGACCCAAAGGTCATGGGGTCAAATCTGAACACAAATGGAGTTGTTTTTGCCGAACCTTAAATGGGTACTAGGTTAAGTCCTAGGAAGTAAAGGTGACCAGCATAATAATGACCACATCACCCACTGAATACCGATTAGTTTACAAAATATAGGTCAAGCCCTATATGCCCAAAACGCCTGAAGATGTGGAAAAGGGTCTTTTACCTTTTGCCTAGTTGTAAACCATAAAACAATGAGCCAACCACATTTTTAAGAGTGAACAAAGAAGAAGAAGATTTCCCACCCAACATTTGCAGCAGTATACCTGAGAAATTTCTGTGGCAATGATAGTGCGATATTTGTCTCCTTGACCTAGTGCCTCCATGTCCTTCAAAAACTCTTGCCTCTCTCTGATTTCATTCTGCACTGAAATTAAAGAAACGAAACAAAAATTGAAAGAAAATATTCCTTCTGTGAAAGTGAATTAAAATAAGGAGATGATCTAATAATAATAAATTCCAGAAATGCAATAAGTTGTGAGGATTTTATATTATTGCATGTAATGTGCCAGGATAAATGGCATGGCTGATACATGAATCTCTGTATCTCATTATCTCCAAACCATGTACCAGCTTGTGTTCTGACACCTTTCCTTGCTCTCTTCTCTTCTTAGTCTTCACCAGCTTTAAACTCCGACAGAAAGATCTGGTTGTTCATCCACTTCTAAACTTTGGTCTTGTTTCAGAACTTGAGTTTTGTATGCACATCCATTTTACAGATTTGGCATTTCTGTATGCAGATTGTTTATTTTCATCTCTCATGCAGATGCACTCCAACTTTAACGAAAACACCTCTAACTGGTTGCCCTTTTATGTCATGCTTGTCGGGGGGGGGGGGGGGGGGGGGGGGGGTGTAATGTGTTTTTATTCTTTTTCTTCCTCCAAAAATGGGGCCCTGAAATCCCCAAACCGACCTGTTGTAACAAAAGGCTGTCAATAATCTTCATGGACACACCTAGCAGCTGATATAACAGATAATATCTCTTTATTATCTCCATAAATTAGTTTCTGTGTCACTACCTAGTAGCTACATACTTCATTTTAGAATGAAAGCATATGACACCACAATATTTTAAATAAATTTAGTAGTAATAACTTTCATACTAGTCTGTCAAGCAAGTAGTACAATATTATTTTTATTACTATTATTATTATTAACTCATTCAGTACCAAGAACTCACCACAAGTTCCCAGGATCTCTACGTACAATACATATGCTCAATTATGGTATATTGTTCTGTTGTGTTAACCTATCAAGTCTCACCTTTTACTGCAGCTTTTCCTGCCCCTAAATTGGTATTATATAAATTCCTTAAGATTAATCACATTAAATGTTCAAAGTACAAAAACACATTTGGATGGAAACTATTGTCTGCAACTTAAAAAGAGTTAATGGCCAACAGCAAGATTACTGCCTTTGTTTTCAGTTTTTTTTTAAATAATTTATTTTTATTATTACGATTTTGCTAAGTAATACACTTGACACATTTCTAATTAAAAATCAGACAAGTGTGAATGCAAAATAAAACTAAAACATAAATAAGCATAAGTACATATTTACATTGACAAGTAATTACTCCCTTCAAGGCACCTTTCTCTATCACCTAAGACTACCCCAACTTCTAAGACAGTCATTGATTGACAGTCCCCTACAAGTTGATGCACACAGGATTAGATACACACAATTAAATCAATAAGCTATCAAGAATTTACAAGTTCTTCAAACTACATTAAAGAATCCTCTTATATGATCATAAATAAACTGAAGCTAACTAACAGAAAAGCATATCAACAAGTTGTCATCTTTATACTTAGCAGCCAATTTGGCAAAAAGTGCATAACGTGATTGTGAGAATAATCATGCTTTGGTTGTCTCTATATTCAAGCTGACATTTAATCAAAACTGTGTCAATAAGCTTAAAGATATGGTCAATATGATGATTACCATTTTAAATTCATAATGTCAGCTCTTATTATCAAATGTGTTGAAATGACTAGACACGAGATTTCATTAAGGCTAGAGACAACCCTGCATCACAGGAAATCATGCAAGCATATAAAGTTAATTAAAAAAAGTATGCAGTGGAGTTAGGTACTGTGAATAATGAATCTTATTTGCTGATGTGAATGACATAAATATTTATAATAATCACTGCCATTATTCCCACAGCTCTCTCTCTCTACTTCCCCCCCCCCCCCTCTTTTCCCCTAAATCAGTTCACAGTTCTTCATGTCATACCCAAAAATACAATTAAATTAAATCAGCTTCTTTTTAAAAAAGCGTACAGATCTCTCTTTCCTTGTTGTGTATATTTTGCATGGCTGTCTTAGTCTCTCTTTCATTCTTTCTGTCTCTCTCTTTCTATTTCTGTTAATTTTTTTCCCATTTGTCTCTGTCTCTCACTGTCATTATATCTCTGTGGCAGTATTTTACCTATGTTAATATCTCTCTTTTCTCTGTCTCTATGTTGGCTTCATTTATCTTTATATCTCTTGTCTCTTATCGCTGTCTCTGCATCCATTTTTCTTTTTGTCTTTCTCTTTCTCTATATAATTTTTTTTTTTTATCTTTGCCTCTGTCTCCCTACTTCTTTCTATCTATGCCTCTATTCTTGCTGTGTTTGCCTCTGTCTCTTTCTGTATTTTTTTTGTTCAACAGGTTAAACTTCAAATACTTGCCAGAGCTAGACAGATGAAAACTGTAGTAGCGTTTCCATTAAGATTTTTTTTAGGGCCACTACTTTTTATAATTTTCTTCTTCCTCCCTTCTTCCCATTCTCAAGCAGAGACACTCAACAAGCTCAAGCCAAGCCACCCCATCCATTGCCATCTCCTGCAGCTCCATCCATATATCCTCTCTATATATTCTTAAAAACAAATGTGTTTTGTCCATACACTTACTAAGAAAAAAAAAAAAACACAGGCAGTTTAGCAACAATCTACTCTTTGACACTTCCCAGAGTTAGAGGAAACCACTAGTATCTTTTCTTGCAGGAATAATTGCAGGGCTACTGTCACTTAGAATTTCATAATTCTCCTTCCTTCCTTTATTCCCATAAGAGCACAATCCCTCAGCCAACTCATTCAAAGCCACCACCTGCAGCCCATTGCATATCCTTCCTGCATATTCTAGAAATCTGAGAGACAGCAAACAAGTCTTGTCTATTGCTCCACAATGTGAGATATTTCTCAGCAACTAACAATAATGATTGGTTTATGGAGGTCACTTTATAGTTATGATCTCTATCATAATCATAATAAACAGATAACTTTAATTAAATGTCTACAACCTATATCATATCAGTGTCAACAAAGCCAAATTAGCTTAAATTACCATCTGTCAGAAAAAAATAAAAGTTTATCTTGCCACTAATAATGTTTCATAAAGGCTAACATTAGTCTTTGGACCTGAGGAGTGCCGGATTTCTGAAAATATCACATCTGTTTAATAGCTATATATGCTGTATATATTTAACAGAAAATGACCACATGTACAGTCCTTTTTAAAGACTTTAAACACTAAACAAAAAGCAAATGAAATGGTAATGTTCCCCAACTGCTGTACGGAGCAAAAAGATGACAAACTGAGAAGGAATAAGCATGATGCTTGTTAGCACATGCAAGCAAGACCAAAGCTGACTCTAGAGTATAGCGCCATCAAAATATAAACAGTGCCTCCAGAAATCAGTGGCATGCCAATGTGTTTATTTGAAAATGTGCTCCAAAATCTATGCGGGAGATCTGAAAGAATTCAATTATTGATGACCAGATTCTTGAATTTTCTCCTGTACTATATACAACAAAAGTATATGACTATTCATATGTTTTCTAAGTCTAGATTAAACACAAAAAAGGCTTAGATCACTCTGCTACTCATTTACAAAACTATCTACCCCTCATCTTAATAACTATAGGCAGTTCGGACTCGTTCATATATAGCTATTTTAATTAGGGCTGTACCGAATAGTGATTTTCATTATTCAACCGAATACGAATAGCGGGACCAACTATTTGGCTGAATCTGAATACGAATATGAATAGTGTATTATCATCATCAGGTGCCTTGCCGACTGGCGTGGGTGATAATGCCTCGCCACAATCTGCAATCTCCTGCAGCATGTATTAGTTTGTGTGCCATTTTCCCTCTTCTCATAACATGGCTGAAAAATTATGTCTGTGATTAGTTGTCTTCAGGCTCCTGTCTCTTTCAAAACCACTTGGTTGCTTTTTTTCCGGCTGTGCTAGGTATTTTAAGTATTGTTCTGTAAAACCACATCTTTGAGGCCTCAAGAAATCATTTGGCCTGCCTACCGATTGTAGAGGACTCACAGCCATATGTTAAAACTGGATGTATGTAGCAAGCAAGAATTCTTTTTGTAAGCTTTAATGACAAAGATATATTGCATAAGATGTTCTTCATTTTATAAAATGCAGTTTTTGCCTGTCCTGTTATGTTTCTTATTTCAGTTATGCATCATCCATCTGATGTTATCCATGTGCCCAGATACTTCAATTTCTGTACTTGTCCCAAAATAACACTGTTGACTTTTATTACACATTTAGGAATAATTCTTTTCTTAGATACCACCATTACTTCTGTCTTCCCCCTATTCAAACTGAGGCCCATTCTTCAACTTTTGAATAGTGTATAGTGTATAAAATAGATCTACAAAAAAAGTTCAAAATGTCAAATGTACGCTGAAATTTTACTTCACAAAATGTAGTACAGCATAGTAAACATTTAAAAACATTTCATGTTTTGCATCCTTCAGTCAGTCTGTTGTAACTAATACCTTGGAATGAAAGTATTCTTAGTTTGATAACAAGTAACTTAACTTGTAAATTGTCACTGACAGCTTAGTTAATGCATGAAAGCAGCATTAGCTTTAAAAAAAACCAATCGTTCCATGTTGTCAGCATTAAGGCAGCTTCTCGTCTCACTGAAGGTATTTCCAGCTGTACTAAACAGACATTCACTTGGTACGCTCGCAGGTGGTGCACAAAGATAACGCTTGACAGTATGAACCAAGGTGGGAAATCTTGACATGTTTATTTTCCACCAGTCCAGAAATGGGTGTAAGGTAACCACTATTCGTATTAGGCCTGACCGCAAGTATTCCGCTGAATACCAAATAGTTATTAGGTCCACTATTCGGCCCCGAAGCGAATATTCAGTACAGCCCTAATTTTAATCCTCATCATCAAGTACCTTGCGGACTGACATGGGTGATCATGCATCTCCACTACAAGCTATGACCTCCAACGGTATTCATCAGCTCATGTGTTGACACCCGTCCATGCCATGATAGAAGGCTTTCAAGAATCTTCTCACCTTGTCATCCTCATCCTCTCACTTTCCACAAATCTTTCCAATTGTATTATTTTAATTCACACTCAACACTGATTACATGCCTCCCTGACTATCAAGAAGGTTTCTTCCTCTGCTAATTCTCAGCCTTCACTGGCTGTGAACTCCAGCAGAAAGTTCTGACCATCATCCATTTGTGGACTTTGTTCTTGTTCCAGAAATGAGGTTTGGTGTCCACGTCCATTTGACAGATCTGGCTTATTTTTTTTTATGCAGACTGTTGGTTCCTTGTCTCTCAGGCAGAGGCACACTGACTTTGAAGGAAACTCTCCTAATTAGTCCCATTTTACGACATACTTGTTATGGAGTGGGTCTGGTTCTACACCCCCCCCCCCCACACACACACACAATAATGTAGCCCCAGAATTCACACAGGGAATGAAGGTATGAAAGTATTTACTCACATTCATCAAATCTGTCAGGGAGAGGTGGTGGTGTTTCTATCTTTACAACTTGTTTTCTCTTGACTTGGATCTGTGGTTTGTCTTCTCCATAAGCCATGATGTTTGCCAGTTTCTCTTTCTCTCTGCAAGACCTTGTACCTGGGCACACAGGCCAGACTCATTAATTTGTTATACACATTAAGTCATGAACACTCATTAGAAAGATCAGAACATAAACCAGAGGCTACTGGGTGGAATTTTTTTTTTGTGAGAACATGTTCAATTTCATTGCTAACTGAATTTTGTTTTAATCTTCTTAAAAAAAGTTAGTTGTGTATCCTTAACAGGATGTTACAGAACCAGCCCCAGCATTTTTTGGCTATTGTGGTTTTTCTAGGCAAGTTTTATGTTCAGTAGTTTGCCATTGCCTCTGAATGGTCAGCTCTCGGTACCACTGTGGACACCAGCGCAAGACAAATTGTCCGCAGCTGGAATCTGACCCGGCAGCCTGGCCGGTATTACAAAGCGCCCAATGCCTAAGACACAGAATCATCTTAAGACACAGCGCCCAATGCCTAAGACACAGAATCATCTTAAGACAAAGCGCCCAATGCCTAAGACACAGAATCATCTTAAGACAAAGCGCCCAATGCCTAAGACACAGAATCATCTTAAGACAGAGTGCCCTATGCCTAAGACACAGAATCATCTTAAGACAAAGCGCCCAATGCCTAAGACACAGAATCATCTTAAGACAAAGCGCCCAATGCCTAAGACACAGAATCATCTTAAGACAAAGCGCCCAATGCCTGAGACACAGAATCATCTTAAGACAAAGCGTCCAATGCCTAAGACACAGAATCATCTTAAGACAAAGCGCCCAATGCCTAAGACACAGAATCATCTTAAGACAAAGCGCCCAATGCCTAAGATACAGAATCATCTTAAGACAAAGCGCCTAATGCCTAAGACACAGAATCATCTTAAGACAAAGCGCCCAATGCCTAAGAAACAGAATCATCTTAAGACAAAGCGCCCAATGCCTAACACACAGAATCATCTTAAGACAAAGCGCCCAATGCCTGAGACACAGAATCATCTTAAGACAAAGCGCTTAATGCCTAAGACACAGAATCATCTTAAGACAAAGCGCCCAATGCCTAAGACACAGAATCATCTTAAGACAAAGCGCCCAATGCCTAAGACACAGAATCATCTTAAGACAAAGAGCCCAATGCCTAAGACACAGAATCATCTTAAGACAAAGCGCCCAATGCCTAACACACAGAATCATCTTAAGACAAAGCGCCAAATGCCTAAGACACAGAATCATCTTAAGACAAAGCGCCCAATGCCTAACACACAGAATCATCTTAAGACAAAGCGCCCAATGCCTAAGACACAGAATCATCTTAAGACAAAGCGCCCAATGCCTAAGACACAGAATCATCTTAAGACAAAGCGCCCAATGCCTAAGACACAGAATCATCTTAAGACAAAGTGCCCAATGCCTAAGACACAGAATCATCTTAAGACAAAGCGCCCAATGCCTAAGACACAGAATCATCTTAAGACAAAGCGCCCAATGCCTAAGACACAGAATCATCTTAAGACAAAGCGCCCAATGCCTGAGACACAGAATCATCTTAAGACAAAGCGTCTAATGCCTAAGACACAGAATCATCTTAAGACAAAGCGCCCAATGCCTAAGACACAGAATCATCTTAAGACAAAGCGCCCAATGCCTAAGACACAGAATCATCTTAAGACAAAGCGCCCAATGCCTAAGACACAGAATCATCTTAAGACAAAGCGCCCAATGCCTAAGACACAGAATCATCTTAAGACAAAGCGCCCAATGCCTAAGACACAGAATCATCTTAAGACAAAGCGCCCAATGCCTGAGACACAGAATCATCTTAAGACAAAGCGCTTAATGCCTAAGACACAGAATCATCTTAAGACAAAGCGCCCAATGCCTAAGACACAGAATCATCTTAAGACAAAGCGCCCAATGCCTAAGACACAGAATCATCTTAAGACAAAGCGCCCAATGCCTAAGACACAGAATCATCTTAAGACAAAGCGCCCAATGCCTAACACACAGAATCATCTTAAGACAAAGCGCCAAATGCCTAAGACACAGAATCATCTTAAGACAAAGCGCCCAATGCCTAAGACACAGAATCATCTTAAGACAAAGTGCCCAATGCCTAAGACACAGAATCATCTTAAGACAAAGCACCCAATGCCTAAGACACAGAATCATCTTAAGACAAAGCGCCCAATGCCTAAGACACAGAATCATCTTAAGACAAAGTGCCCAATGCCTAAGACACAGAATCATCTTAAGGAAAAGCGCCCAATGCCTAAGACACAGAATCATCTTAAGACAAAGCGCCTAATGCCTAAGACACAGAATCATCTTAAGACAAAGCGCCCAATGCCTAAGACACAGAATCATCTTAAGACAAAGCGTCCAATGCCTAAGACACAGAATCATCTTAAGACAAACCGCCCAATGCCTAACACACAGAATCATCTTAAGACAAAGCGCCCAATGCCTGAGACACAGAATCATCTTAAGACAAAGCGCTTAATGCCTAAGACACAGAATCATCTTAAGACAAAGCACCCAATGCTTAAGACACAGAATCATCTTAAGACAAAGCGCCCAATGCCTAAGACACAGAATCATCTTAAGACAAAGCGCCCAATGCCTAAGACACAGAATCATCTTAAGACAAAGCGCCCAATGCCTAACACACAGAATCATCTTAAGACAAAGCGCCAAATGCCTAAGACACAGAATCATCTTAAGACAAAGCGCCCAATGCCTAAGACACAGAATCATCTTAAGACAAAGCGCCCAATGCCTAAGACACAGAATCATCTTAAGACAAAGCGCCCAATGCCTAAGACACAGAATCATCTTAAGACAAAGCGCCCAATGCCTAAGACACAGAATCATCTTAAGACAAAGTGCCCAATGCCTAAGACACAGAATCATCTTAAGACAAAGCGCCCAATGCCTAAGACACAGAATCATCTTAAGACAAAGCGCCCAATGCCTAAGACACAGAATCATCTTAAGACAAAGTGCCCAATGCCTAAGACACAGAATCATCTTAAGACAAAGCGCCCAATGCCTAAGACACAGAATCATCTTAAGACAAAGCGCCCAATGCCTAAGACACAGAATCATCTTAAGACAAAGCGCCCAATGCCTAAGACACAGAATCATCTTAAGACAAAGCGCCCAATGCCTAAGACACAGAATCATCTTAAGACAAAGCGCCCAATGCCTAAGACACAGAATCATCTTAAGACAAAGCGCCCAATGCCTAACACACAGAATCATCTTAAGACAAAGCGCCCAATGCCTGAGACACAGAATCATCTTAAGACAAAGCGCTTAATGCCTAAGACACAGAATCATCTTAAGACAAAGCGCCCAATGCCTAAGACACAGAATCATCTTAAGACAAAGCGCCCAATGCCTAAGACACAGAATCATCTTAAGACAAAGCGCCCAATGCCTAAGACACAGAATCATCTTAAGACAAAGCGCCCAATGCCTAACACACAGAATCATCTTAAGACAAAGCGCCAAATGCCTAAGACACAGAATCATCTTAAGACAAAGCGCCAAATGCCTAAGACACAGAATCATCTTAAGACAAAGCGCCCAATGCCTAAGACACAGAATCATCTTAAGACAAAGCGCCCAATGCCTAAGACACAGAATCATCTTAAGACAAAGCGCCCAATGCCTAAGACACAGAATCATCTTAAGACAAAGTGCCCAATGCCTAAGACACAGAATCATCTTAAGACAAAGCGCCCAATGCCTAAGACACAGAATCATCTTAAGACAAAGCGCCCAATGCCTAAGACACAGAATCATCTTAAGACAAAGCGCCCAATGCCTAAGACACAGAATCATCTTAAGACAAAGCGCCTAATGCCTAAGACACAGAATCATCTTAAGACAAAGCGCCCAATGCCTAAGACACAGAATCATCTTAAGACAAAGCGCCCAATGCCTAACACACAGAATCATCTTAAGACAAAGCGCCCAATGCCTGAGACACAGAATCATCTTAAGACAAAGCGCTTAATGCCTAAGACACAGAATCATCTTAAGACAAAGCGCCCAATGCCTAAGACACAGAATCATCTTAAGACAAAGCGCCCAATGCCTAAGACACAGAATCATCTTAAGACAAAGCGCCCAATGCCTAAGACACAGAATCATCTTAAGACAAAGCGCCCAATGCCTAAGACACAGAATCATCTTAAGACAAAGCGCCCAATGCCTAACACACAGAATCATCTTAAGACAAAGCGCCAAATGCCTAAGACACAGAATCATCTTAAGACAAAGTGCCCAATGCCTAAGACACAGAATCATCTTAAGACAAAGCGCCCAATGCCTAAGACACAGAATCATCTTAAGACAAAGCGCCCAATGCCTAAGACACAGAATCATCTTAAGACAAAGCGCCCAATGCCTAAGACACAGAATCATCTTAAGACAAAGTGCCCAATGCCTAAGACACAGAATCATCTTAAGAAAAAGCGCCCAATGCCTAAGACACAGAATCATCTTAAGACAAAGCGCCCAATGCCTAAGACACAGAATCATCTTAAGACAAAGCGCCCAATGCCTAAGACACAGAATCATCTTAAGACTACGCGCCCAATGCCTAAGACACAGAATCATCTTAAGACAAACCGCCCAATGCCTAACACACAGAATCATCTTAAGACAAAGCGCCCAATGCCTGAGACACAGAATCATCTTAAGACAAAGCGCTTAATGCCTAAGACACAGAATCATCTTAAGACAAAGCGCCCAATGCTTAAGACACAGAATCATCTTAAGACAAAGCGCCCAATGCCTAAGACACAGAATCATCTTAAGACAAAGCGCCCAATGCCTAAGACACAGAATCATCTTAAGACAAAGCGCCCAATGCCTAACACACAGAATCATCTTAAGACAAAGCGCCAAATGCCTAAGACACAGAATCATCTTAAGACAAAGCGCCCAATGCCTAAGACACAGAATCATCTTAAGACAAAGCGCCCAATGCCTAAGACACAGAATCATCTTAAGACAAAGCGCCCAATGCCTAAGACACAGAATCATCTTA